GGGACAGTTGGACTGACAGTTAAATTCTTGTTTGTAGTAATTTGTTGTCACTTTTTAGATTATAATATAACCTATGACATATAAATACAAAAATGACATTGACGCAATTGTGCGTAAGACTATTCAAGTGTCCAATGTTGAAGTTAAACTGCTTTGCAGAGGCTCCACGTAGTGCCCCGGATGAGGATGTTGAAAGTTGGTCAGACGTAAGCACAGTTGAACTAGGTATATTTTTTCATTTATTTCATATTTTATGAATTTTATATTTTATATAACTTGATATATATTGTATATTATTACAGTAAATTTACAAATTAGTGAATATTTTCTAATAAATTTATATATAAACTAATTTTATTACTAAACATCAAAAACAATCAATTTAAACACAATAAATATATATGTTTAATATTATAATTCATCAAAAATATATGTAAATAGCATAATGCTATTTTATATTTTTCTTATATGTTTTGTTTTATGCTTTTTTAATAATTTTTTATTCCTAATTCTGCAATAGATGTTTGTATTATTACAAACAAATTTCAAGTTATAATTTTATCTTTTTATTTCAACTAAGTAAAAAATTACATGTAATTTAATTAATTTTTTGTGCTTGTAATAGTTTGAATTTAGCGAATCAATCTTTAGCAATATATCTTTTTATAGGATATAGAAAATGGATATAACTTTTAGATTTTGCAAAAGTTTATCATAGTATAGACAAAAATATATATAATATATAAATATATACAGTTCTATCATAAATAGCCATTTTTTTATTTTCTAAAATTAAAAGAATAGAATTTAATAAATGTTAAATGATTTAAACTTTGATATGAGTATAACAATTACTTATAAAAATTATTAAATTCGAGAATAAATAGAGTATATAAAATTTTTTACAATAACGTGAATATTTTAATTAAAAATTATTACTATTTATTTTAATATATCTTTATTATGGTCTTTCTCTTTTAGTTTAGATAATTAGTTTAGAAAAAGATAGCTATTTATGTGACAGAACACCCAGTAATACATATTTAATATATTATATCGTAAAATATATGATGTGTTATGATACATTCATAGATCTGTCAAGTAATAGACTAGACCTCAATATGGAGGATATACCAGTGCCCACAGAAAATACTTTTGATGTGACATTACCAGCAACACATTCTGTGAGTATATATTTTCCAATATTTGAATGTAACGCATTTAGCATGATATGAGTTATATTAATTTGAAATCTAAGTTAAGACTCTGAAAAATAATTAAATCTATTCTATATATAGTATTTAGGACAAAATTTGGAAGAATTGAGAGGAAGGACTATACTTGATGACGGTATTTATATGAACCTACCATTATTTATAAAGCAATCTGTATTATTTCCTGGACAAACATTACCCATGACAGTCTTCGGTGCACAGACTATAGATATGTTACGAACTTGTATACAAAACGATCGTACTTTTGGTGTGGTATGTTATGGTTATCCTGAGATGGAGCGAATAGGTACGACTGCTGAAATCTACGAATACACGGATGGAGGTATATGGCTGGATCATGGTCGGGGAGAGTTTCGTTTAAAAGCCAAAGGCAGACAACGCTTTAAGATATTACGTGTTATTACGCAGGTCAGTTAATATGAAGTTTATATCAATTATATTTATATCTATTGAATTGTATTGAATTATTCTTAATGGCAGGAAAGAAGAAAATATTTTTGAATAGATAATTGGATAGTAGAAATATTAAACTTATGACACACATAAATATTCTGAACTAACATTTTAATATATTTTTAATAAAAATTGGTAGTCAGACTTGGAGAATTTCCATGTACAAAAAAGGTGTAATTTCATCACTTATAACTTTTCTGTAAAGTAAGAATTGTAAAAATGCTATACAAACAAAATATATTCATATAATATTGCAGAGTTATATCAATCAAAAATAAAAATATATTTTAACATTATCTTTGATTTTACCCTTAAATAATTTACCCTTAAATAATTATTATTTTAGAAATTGCTACTTTTAAAATTGATTATAAGAATCATTGAACTATTGAATAAATTATAATTTAATAATGGTATTTTAAACCTGATACTTTGATAACTTTGGTACTTTTAAATCTAGAATATAGGATTTTGATTTTGGATATTATGATAGTATTTTAGTAATATTTTAGTGATATTTTAGTTATATATTTTTTACAATTTGTTATGCTCTTTATAATTTGTTTACGACAATTTGATATTACTTATAATCAGGACAACAATAAAATTTCGGCCAATGTTAAAGTATTACCAGAGATAACACTTGAGCCACCATTTTTGGATCAACGTTTGGCCTCATTAGATCGTTTAAGAATTTCTATCGACACTGAGGAAGATATGAAAAAACAAGAAAGAGTAGAAAACATGGATGCTGCACTAACTCCTTGGCCAGCTTGGGTCTATAGGCAGTATGACCCTGTGAGGCTCTCTTTTAGAATACGTCAACATCTGCAATTTCTTGAAACTAGTAGGTCTTGTGATTGTATAAATAAAACTACATTGTTACAACACTTATTATAATTTTATTTCTTTTTGATTACAATTCACATTCTATAGGAGGTGGTAGTGTACCTAAAGATCCCATAGATTTGTCTTTCTGGGTTGCACAAAATATCTTAATGGATCACAATGAAAGACTCATGTTATTAAGTTATGATTGTGCTATTTCTCGATTGCAAAGAGAAATAAAGTATCTTGTAGAAGTATGTATATGAAGTATTGTATGCACTTAATAATGTTTAAACTGCATCTTTTTATATTGTCTTTATCTGTTATTTGAAGGATAAGATATATGTATGCGTTAATTGCGAATCTTTTATTGGGAGACAATCTCACATGTTTCCGATGAATAAGGAAGGCCCACAGGGTACTTATGTTAATCCTGGTGGTATCATACATGAAACCATAACTTTTTATCATATTCAAGGAGTCATACTTAGTCCTTCGACTCCTTCAATTGAATACAGTTGGTTTCCAGGGTAAAAATGCAACATTCTAATATATCAACAATCATGTCCGAATTGTTTGTTTCATTTCTAATGCGTACATCATTTTAGATATGCTTGGACAGTAGCCAACTGTAAAAGCTGTCGTCATCATGTTGGTTGGAAGTTTACAGCAGTCGAAAGTAATTTAAGGCCCAAAGAATTTTGGGGTTTAACGCGCAGAAGTTTGAAAAATAAAGACTTGAAAGTTAAGAAGAAGAAATAAAGAGAGCATCAAAAGAAATTGCATTAACTGTACATTAGGCGTCGTAAATGTTTTAGCAGTGATTAGATGGATATTTTGGAAACGGATGGAAAACGGATGGAAAACGATGCGTCTTCTTGATACATTAAAATTAATATATTTTATTTTGAAAGCAAGTTTAGAGAGATAATAAAGATAATAGTTTAATAAAGTTATTACACAGAAAATATATTTTGTAAAGGCAAAGATAAATAAGGATTGTTTAAAATGTGAGATATAATGTTAAATATTAGTTATATTTTCATTCGAATTTTTTGTATTCTTAATATGTCAAGGTCGAACAGCTAACTCTTCTTAGATCTCATTTCATTTCATTGTATGTTATTTCACGTATATTTCCGTTAGATGTATTATCAGAATTTTATTTACAAAATATTGAGAAATATGCATGCTCATTTTTTTTTTTTAATGATTATCTTTATTTGAAGTTTTAATTTTTTGTATTTTTATTCTTACTTTCAGACTTGAGACAAACTGTAGGTTTTCCAGAAATTATGTTTCCATCTACAAATATTTAAAAAATGTGGCATAATTTTGTGGAGAAGCTGTTAATGGATATCAAATTAATCTAATATTTAATGAAAATTTTTATAAAGTTTCTATTAGTTACCTTAAAAGTGATTAATAATTTTAAAAAATCTATGGAATTATGTTTATAAATTCTGAAATCAATCAATAGTATGACGTCAATAATATGACGATAATTATGATCATATTTTTAAATTTCATAATAAAATATAAAATTGTAAAATTATATTATAAATTTATACCAGCGTTATTTTTTATTTTAATTTTGATATTTTAAAAGAAACATCCTTAAAATTCGTTACTCGTACCTGAAATATACGTGAAATATTCATATATATCATTTATGTATATAAATGAAATAAAATGTTTCAATTCTATACATAATGTATTTTTATTATTTTCATGTGTGGTTAAAAGAGGTGTAAAATAATGGAAAAACAATGTGGAAAATGTTAAAAATAAGAATATTAAGAATAAGTTAATAATAAGAGATAAGAATAGGAAATGTAATTTTTATTTATGATTATGAATAATTATAATACACAAATTCCTGAATATAATGCGTTTTTCCGAAAATTTTTTTAGTAACTTATTTAACATATATAAAAGAGCATGTTTATGACGCTTAATGTATAAATTATATATGAACTTTATTTATTTTTAATTTAATTAGCTATGCTTTAGAAGACAGTGATTTGTAAAAGATGCTTTATATATATATATACAAACGATTTGTTACATTAATAATAATATAAGTTATAATAAAAAGTATTTGTGAGTGTATTGACGTTATTGCGAATTTTGTTTATTTTACTTTATATCAATTACATTTTATGTAAAATTTCTTTTTTTAAATGCCATAAATTATATAATTGGAAGATATATTGTTTTATATGATTTTACTCATTTAATGCTTTATATAAAAGAACTATTAACTTGTTGGTACTTGTTAAATATCATTTTTAAATTCTAATGTTTATGAATTCTTAATGTTTATGAATTTTTTGCTCATGTAATTTTTATGATTGTGAAAAGAGAAAAATTCAAATAATACGATTCATCTTTGTATAATAAAAAATTAATTAAAAAATTAATATGTATATATACACCGCACGCGCGGTTTGTGTGTGTGTGTGTGTGT